AAGAGTGCAAGTTACGAGTTCGGTAAGAATTTGATAGTTCGAATTTCAACAGTTTTAATTGAATCATGTGAATCTTCTTAAAAAATTTATTGAATATTTATAAATTATTTATTATCTTAAGAAATTATATTTATATACTTCTACTTCTGATTAAGCAGATCCGATTTTTTTTTCTTTGCTTAACTTTTTTTTTTTTCTGTAATTAAAAATTGTTTTAAAGGAAAAAGGTGGATAGCTTTTCAATTACGTAGAACAATGGGGAAACACAATACAAGATGCACGTTCTCCCACGGCAAAACATTTCCATTTCTTCTGGACTAAGCACACATGGGACTGTCTATCTACAACCTATAGGATCCAATGTTACTTCTAAAAAATTTAGGAGTATCTAAGTATTATTTAATATCCTTAATTTTCTGTAAGATTTAAAAATATATAAGCTTTAGGAGCAACAACAACAATAATATACTTAGTATAATTTCATAAGTAGTGTCCGCAGAGGGTAGTGTGTATGCAAATCTTACACTTGTCACGTGGAGGTAGAGAGGCTATATCTGAAGACCCTCGGCTCAAGGACAAATAAAAAGAAGCAGTGACAACAAACACTAACAACAACGACATAATAAGATAACTGAAGCGGAAAAAATAACACGTAGAAATATAACTCTACCAACATGAAAATACACCGCTAATACTATGAGCCCGTTTGGACATAAGAAATTTTTTCCTTTTAAATTACTTTTTCAGAAATCAGTGTTTGTTCATAAAATTTTTCATTTTCACTTGAAGATGCATTTTGGAAATTTTCAAAAATTTGAAAAACTCCAAAAAGCTGTTTTTAAAAATTTTCACTCAAATCACTCACAAAACTTCAAAAATAACCCAAAATTATATTCATGTCCAAACACAACTCTAAATTTCAAATACCATTTTCACTTGAAAAAATATTTCCCCCTATTTTAGAATTTTACAATTCTTATGTCCAAACGCCCACTAAATCAACTTGTCTGACAAAGAAATACACTCAAAAAATATTTAAATGCTTACCGTAATTTACCGTCTTTTTTACGAGTCATTCATAATTTTTCAAGTTAATTACTAACAAGTGAGTAATATAATGTGGATGTTCATCAACAATTAATTTATAAATGATTTGATTGTGTAAAATAATTATTGTCAGTGAATAGAATTCAAATTAAGCAAGAAAAATACTTCTGAACGGGAAATTATGAACTTTTTCCAGGCTTCATTTTATTTTATGTCTTAAAAACTATATATTATGAATTTATTTTTCTAACATGTTACTTGAACAAGAAAACAAATTAGCTACTTGGCTTGGAGCTGTCGGTATGTTTATAATACTAAAGTTTGGTCCACTCCTTATGAGATTTTATTATGCATATTGCAAAAGGATAATTAGACATTGTTCGGAATAATTTAAAGATTAGGTGTTAAGGATTCTTTGTTATAAAATAGTTAATTAATATTTACCATATTAAAGCTAATTGTTTACCCTCAAATTAAAATCGGATAATAATTAAATTTGTAAGTGATTTTAAGGATACACGGATTGACTTGATACAAAGCGATAAATTAAATTGTTATTGAATAAATAAAGATAAAATAAATTTAAACCACACGACCTGGATAGTTTCAGCTTTGATGGAATAATCGCTCTCGAGCCTGGCTCGCTACGACCGGTGACAATCAAAAAAGAACAAGAGCTTAAAGACAAAAAATAATAATGTATTGCTTCAGAGTGCGTGTTACAATATGTCAAATGAATTGTTAGACCCCCTTTATATAGTAGGGGGTCCTATTTTAGGTACAACTCTATACAAGGTAAAAAAATCTTTTGATTCACTGATTGCCGGCTCATTATCAATACGCGCCGAGATCCCCGCCATAATATTCGTCCGGTCCCGGATATTTCGGTCTTCTGTTAGCTATGCTGGATTGTCTGACAATGTTCTTCGAAGTCGCTCGAGGCTAGGATTGATTCCGGGATCATGGCCTCGATATTCTTGAAGGCAGGCGTTATGCCCCCGGATTCTAGTCCGGTGGGACTTTGGCTCAATTTCGGTCCCTTATTGCCATGTCTCGATCTTGGCTTATCTTGTCGCAGGCTAGGATGCATTATGAGTTCGGTTTCACCCGTATACACTTAGGGCAGTCTGATACATGAAGCATACTGTGTTTACGTAGGGTCTGGGGAAGGGTCGCACCCCAAGGGGATATGATACAGGCAGTATACCCTGATACAAGCATTATTGGCCCAAACCAATTTTTGGAACTTGAATTTTTTTTTTTTTTAAACTGATCAAATTCCATTAACAAACAATATTTTTTAGAAATTGAGAAAAAGTAAACAAAATCTATGTTCAAACAGGCTTTTCAGCTAAAAGCAGTCATAAGTTGGTCACCCCCAACTTTTAGATTTTCAGCTTATAAGCATTTTTAGTTTGACCAAGACTTTTACTAGTTTATCTCTAATAATAGTATTTTTTAATTCACAAAATATTTTTCCCAAAATAAATTTCCTAACTTTCTCTTCGTTCCATATTCGTTGTTTATCTTTTTCATTATAAAGAAACTTTTTAATTCATAATCTTTTGTAAAACTTTTAAGGATTTTTTAGTCATTTTAATAAAAGAACAGCTTATCAGCATTTTTCTACCAAACACGTCAACTGGTTATTATCAATTTCAGCACGTCTATCCAAACACGTAAATACTTATTTAAAAATGCTTTTTAGCACTTCCAGCTTATCAGTTATTTACAATCAGCTAATCCAAACTGGCTCATAATCGTTTCTAAAAAGTGAAACTAGCAATCTCAAAAGGGACTTTTTCGTATATATAAAAGATTTTAAACTTATTTATCTGATTTTCTGTAAGTTTTCATATTTACAGAAAGTAACCAAAGTTTTTACAAAATATATACAAATTCGGTCAAAATCGACAATTTATCTACAACTTAAATACACATTTTTTATACAAAATTTGATCAAAAACTATAATTTACATACACTTTATATACCACTTAATACAATTATGTAAGTTATAGATATTTTGTATACCGTTTCTACATTCGACATACAAAATATATATAATTTGTGTATGGCTTCTTTTTCGAGTTTCAATCTGAAATTTCAACCAAAACCACCTCAAATTTTCACCAAATTCTCTCAAAAATGGGATATAAACTCCAAGGGGTATTACCAATCATTCGCAACAACACTCATTTCCAATTTAATCTACCCGCTTCTGATTAATATTATTTTGTTTATTGATTCCAAAAAGCTAAACGAAATTAATGATCTTCCCTCATTCAAAAGTGAAAATTCCTTCATTGTTCTTCTTTAAACTTAAACTCCATGACAATAAAACACCATTTTGTAAAATGAAAGGAAGGGAGAAATAATTTTAGCAATGATTTATTGTTGATTCAAGCAGCAACCAGGTTTTCAAATGGAGCTCATGTAATACACTTGATTAAACTTGAACTGACATCATTTCACGCATAGTAGCAAACTAGCTGTTGTATCGATATATTAAAGGTAAACGTGCACCATAGAAAAAAGTTGCCAAAACTGTAATAGGAAACATCTAACATAGAAAAAAAAAACAGAAAATAAAAAGAAAGATAAAACATAATAGAATTGCTTATGCCAAATCTCGTTGTTCTCGTAAAGGTATGGCTGAAGTTGAGAAGAAAGAGGCCAAACATTCTTATGTTAATTTATAATTTTAGTTTTGTGGTGGAAGAGAAAGAGAAAGTATGGAAGATTAGAGGCTAATACATTATTTTATATAAAATTGGTAATTTGTATATGGACTTGTAATTAAGTTAAAATCTCAATAGTAAAGGTAAATAAGTTTAAAAATTTGTATAGATAAGTAAAAATCCCATCTCTCAATATAAGCAGGTTAGCTGCTGCTTAGACGTTTTAATTCATAGTGAAGTCGTTACTCCCTCTGTTTAGTTTGACAATACTATCATATCTGCAAGATTCATGATAAACATATTAGTTTAAATATTCTCTGGTGAGAAAATCAGGAAGACTATTATCTGTCCCTTTTTTATATAAAATTTAAAAATCAAACGGAGCTAATAATGTTTGTCATCTTGCAAATATTTCTTTTGAAACATCATGTTTAAAATCTTTATTAAAAATAAACTTTGCTGCTTGACAGTCAGTTTTTATTAAAAACTTTTGATTATATAAATCAGTTTGAAATTTCATAACACACTTAACTATTGCAAGTATTTCTTTGGCAACGGTTGCATAATTCTTAATTGAATTTTATCGCTACTTTTTGTTCAGGATGAGTATATTCTCTTTCCTTCAAAGTACTTAGTCCTCATTCATCTGAGGCTAATACTTTCTTTATTACAATTTTCGATAAATTATAAATTCTCTTAGTTGTAGCAGGATAGAAATGCTGAATTTCAGCTAATCCTGTGGATGAGAGTATTATCTCATAATGCATTCTGTATTTATATGCATGAGTAGCGTATGATATTGTATCAAAATATCTTGACATTAATTGTCATGAATTATCCTTCCATTTAAGGTCGGATTGTTCCAGAAGAACTATTAGTTAGCCTCTAATTTTACTAGCTCAATTCGGTCTGCGTTCTTCCCGACTCAACTCTGTAAAAAGAGAAGGAAATAAAAATGATCTCTGTATCAGTTACCAGCTTAAATGTTTTATTCTAATCATTTTCAGATATAAACAACCAGCATATACCACCCAAAAAAGAAACAGCAGCTCCTTGAGACGTCCTTAATCTCCTTTAAAGTTTAAACTGACATCTCCACAATTTTAAACATCTTCAGAAACTTTTTATTAAAAGGCACAAATAATCATTATAATGAAATTGATCATATAAGGTAAATGTTGAAAATAAACAAGTCAAAAAAAATACTATAATTCGAACTATTCATTGCGTTTATACTTGCAAAGAGATTTACACCAAGTCCGATGATAAAGAGATGATACGTAACAGGCAAAATGTGATTCACAACGAAACTTTAGTATATAATTCATCTGGACCAAATTCAATAAAAGATTCAAGTGTTTCAGAAGAAAAGCTTCTGATAATTATAAAGACCCCCTATCGGTATCACAAATTTCAACAATAACAAACTTAGCTGCAATGCTAAAGGGGACCAAATGGGTGAAACAATCGAGAGGTTAGAGTCACTGGTAATTTTCCGCAGGACCTGAAAATACTGCAACTATAGTGCCTCAATTTGACGTCTGAGACGCTCAATATTCTCTTCGAATGATTCCAGTTCTTGCTTGAGGACACCAAGTTTCGATGTATTGTCTTCATGGACGTTAGGCGGAACTTTCTCTTTGTAGCCAGAGGCACTCATGACTTTGTTTAAGTTTTCATATTGCCTGCAAAAGAAGAAAGGTTCGGTACAACATGGCAAATTGAACAGCTTGTTAACTTCACCATATAAACTGACTCAAATTTCATGATATATACTTGAGTATTTTGAACGAAGACAGCTGAAGGGAAAAAAGTCAAATTGCATTCTGCAGTATTCATCAAACGAATGCACTAATAATTGAACAAGACTTGGTTGAATTGCCTCCGGATGAAAGCACTCACGTGTATATGAGGGGAGGGAGGAACAAGATTTCGGATTATCAAAGGAAATAACATGCCAGATGTATATTAAGAAGATGAATATCTGGAAAAGTGAGAGTAATATCAAGTCAAAAGCTAGATTGATCTTTTACTCTATTCTTCCTATTCGCCCACCATCTTTCTCAACGTAATTCAATGACCTCTGCAACTCAACTGATTGAAAATTTCCTCAGGTTTCAGTAGCTCGAAAACTAAGACAAACACCAATTTCCTGTTTTTTGCAAGCATTTTTTGATCTTTTACACTATTTTTCCTATTCGCCCGCCATCTTTTTCAATGTAATTCAATGACCTCTGCAACTCAACTGATTGAAAATTTCCTCAGGTTTCAGTAGCTCGAAAAGCAAGACAAACACCAATTTCCTGTTTTTTGCAAGCCTTATATAGTGAGTCAATTAAATACCAAATGGAAAAGCTTTTACTTCGCTTCTCTTTGATAGAAAAAATAAATAGTATGTCCACGGAAAGCAATTCAAAGGCACTTTACTAGTCAGAAAATCAAAATTTGCAAACGGTAGACTAGTCTATGAAACTTCACTTACTTCCTCGTCTCTTCTCTCTTCTTTTTGAGCCTTTCAACTTCATCCTTTGGGTTAATAGTAGTCCCTTTTTCCTCGAGAAAAACTGTGATGGACTCATCCACAACTTCTGTCAGCCACTGAGTTGGAGCTGCATCACTGTCACTTGAGACCTGATGAAAATTAATCAAGCAATGTACGCTGTAAGAAAAATAAGAAAATTTAATAAAAAACATGTATATGCCATCCATCCAACATAATAGCCACTGAATAGTCGACTCATATGCATACATCGGATATTCAAAAGACACTAGTCTCTGTTGGTTCCCTCTTACTTCCCTATTACTGCTATCTATATTATTCTTGATTTTACACCCAGTTCATCCATCCACATAATTAATAGTCAAACCTCTATTTGCCTCACCAACCACTGCCCCTTCCAATAAAACCTTGCACTAAAATGATAAGCACAGGCAGGACTATGGTATTTGTCAATAAGTATCACTCATCTAGTTCCATTTTTCCCTCAAAAGGACAAAGGTCTCAATCTATTTCGTCCTCGACAGATTGGGGCAAGGCTGTTGTTGTTGATCATGACTTGCTGAGTGGTCATCACATTTTAAAGGCCAAGTGAAATATTTAGGGCAACATACAGTATGTTTGAAGGATGTTTGAACATATCCAGCTTCATACCATGTAGGAGAGGAAAGGTACCAACAAAATAAGGAAATAGATTCTCTACTTTTTGGTATACTTTTTGCACACGTGAGATTTTCCTATTACTAACAAAATTGTTTGCTTTATCAAAAAAAGAATAGGGAAGACAAGAATGAATAACATGCTGTAATGCAATCGCAAAACAACAAAACTAGTTTTTACAGCACAGTCATGCTAACTCACATCAAAGAAGTCAAGAATCAAAATGAACCAAGCCAGACACAGAAAGAGATACCTTCAAAGATGACAATGCGGCTAGAGTGCAAATCTCCAGTTCGCAGCTTTTTATCGTCTCCACATTATCATTTGTCCGGCAAAGCACAAATGCTTCTCGCCTAAAGAAAGCAATTCACCACCATTAGTTTGGAAAGCCAAAAATCCTAATTGTCTTTACGAAAAAGCTTTTTTTTCTCAAACCAAACTATCCATATCAAGCAATACAAAGAAAGCCTAACATATCAATCACTCTTGCAATCATTTATATGCATCAAAAGGCTGTATCACTGACTGAATGATCAATTTATTTTTTTCAGAAATGATAATTGTATTAAAACTGCAGCACTAAGAAAGTGCTGAAATAATAACTGACTGAATGATTCACAAACATATTAATCATAACACACTAGTATCCTACGTCCAAGTAATATACATTATATATCTAGTGGAATTTAGCATAGGTCCCTAGAGAAATTAAAACTCAAAAGATAAATATCAGTTACAGCAATGTGAAAGCTGAAGTAGCTAATTCCAATCTCCTAAAGATGGGCAAGAAAGACTGACATTACAAAGTACAAACAACTAAGACGAAAGATTGCATTAGGGATGAAGAAATTAACTAATTCTTTGATTGTCGAATATTTAATTGAAAAGACACTTAAAATTCTTTATTTGTATTATACTCCCACCCAAATTGTGACAACTTTTAACTCTTTCCACCGTAGAGGACGAATTTGCTTGCCACCACTTCAAAGAGTTATTCAACCTTCTACATCTCTAACAATCACAAAGCCGAAATTGACCAACCGCATATTCAACGGACGTTAAACACCAAACATGCTCTTTATCCAGCATATTACTTGTTTTTCATTCAAAAAGTGCTCTATGGTACTTCAACCATTCTCGTGTGGATAAGTTTGCTCGTGTTCACAACCTAGTGGTGGCAAAATGTATAAAAAAAGACAGTTATACATTCATATTATCCACTAAAAATGTGTTGGATAATGAACTTTTTAAAAAATGGGTCAAATATGGATATTATTCATAGTATCCACATAGATAACCAATGGGTTTAACTTTTACATTTGCAAAGACTCAAATTGAGAATTTCTTATGTTTGGGAGACTAGGAATTCTCCCAAAAGTGATCATATTCAAGAAGCCGTGGATAATATGGATATCTGTATTATCCGCCGATTAACCCATTTTTTATTCGTATTATATATAGGTCGGATCGGATACTTTATCCGTTTTTGCATCATCCATTTTTGACCCGTCCATATCTGAGCCTCTCTACCTTACTAGATAGGGGTAAGGTCTACGTACACACTACCCTCCACAGACCCCATTTGTGGGATTAGACTGGGTCTATTGTTGTTGTTAACCCGTCCATATCCGACCTGACCCACTCGTTTGCCACCTCTATCACAACCCATGACGGATTTTTCTCTTAATGCCCAACATACAATGAATAGTGAGCATAAGGCATTATAACATGGACTTCACACACCATTGACCCGTCCATATCCGACACATACAATGAATAGTGAGCATAAGGCATTATAACATGGACTTCACACACCATTGACCCGTCCATATCCGACACATACAATGAATAGTGAGCATAAGGCATTATAACATGGACTTCACACACCATTGACCCGTCCATATCCGACTCGACTGGCCCGTTTGCCACCCCTATCACAAACCATGACGGATTTTTCTCTTAATGCCCAACAGACGATGAATAGTGAGCATAGGGCATTTATAACATGGACTTCACACACCAATGGACACCATACAGAACTTTTCTGCCGAAGAGATACCAAAGATAACCAGAAAATGTCAATTGAAATGCTCTTTATATGAAAAGATAAGTTCACCCAGAAGACACAGGAAACGCCTGAACATTTACCTTGCAAATCTCTCCTTTGGAGGCAACAATGCTCTCTTCGACCTTAATCCTTTAACAATGGATGATACTTTTTCCATCTCAGCTTCCACACTATCATTATTCCAGCTCTGAAAAAGTGAACAAACGTAGAGCAACACGGTTAATAGACAACATAAGAATCATATAGCAGCTAGCATGGAGCATTACACAAGTCCTGTTTTCTACTACTAGACTAATCTTGATGAGCTGCCTTTTTCAGACCCTCAAGCAAGCAACATGTCCAAATACATTTTCTTGCAAAATAAATAGACTACATGGTTTTCTTTTCACATATACTTGGTGAGAAGTTTAACAAGGTACATGTGTGATTCCATATATTGATTTTTCAGAGATAGATCCTACGCAGCTCAGGGTAATCATTAAGCATCTATACCATCACACAAAAACCAACAGCAAAAAGAAAGAGGAAAAGGAGGGAAAAAACTACACTTTAACCTAAGTCAAATAAAAACAGGAAGTATACATTTACTTTAACAGCCAACCAACAGAAGTAATATGTCTATTTTCTTTTTGATAATGGACAGAAGTAATATGTCTATTTTCTAGTGGACATGAAATTTGTGCTTAAATCATACCTCTATAGTTGAAGGATAATCACTTATCACTATTGATTCTTTCTTTATAGAATTCCCGCTAGCAGGAAGGCGCTGCCATAATTCTTCGGTGACAAATGGCATAAATGGATGGAGTAATCTCAATCCGTTATCTAAACAAAGCCACAGGGTGTCTTGAGCAAATCTTCTTGCAGATACAAATTCAGGATTATCACCGGCAAAGTATGGCTTGATTACTTCTATGAAAACATCACACAACTGGAACTGCCACCACGAATATACCGCTGTTGCTGCATCGGAGAAATCATAAGATTCCAGGGATGAGACAGTTTTCGCAATGGCCTTGTTAAGTGCTGAGAGTATCCATTGGCAGCTAAAAGGCATTTCACGAGGAACTATCTTTGTTGGAGGGGTGTAATCTTCACCCAGTTTACTCATGGCAAACCTAATGGCATTCCACAGTTTGTTACACCATTGACGATACCCAACCACTCTTTGAATATCCAGATTGATCTTATCGGACTGGAAGGATAAATTAAGAAAGTTAATACTATCCAAAGAAAGTCAAAAGAAACGACTTATTAAACTTGTATATTACAAATGTAACAAACCTGGGCAGTGTATGAGACTAGGGCAAATCGAAGAGCATCTGCACCACATTCAGGAATACCACTAGGAAAGTCCTTTGCCTGTCCCTCTTTTGCCCTCTCAAATTCTTTGGCGTCCAGGTTACCCTCCTTTAATCTCTTATGAAGTCCAGCAAGTTCAATTCCATTAATAACTTCAAGAGGATCAATAACATTTCCCAATGACTTGGACATCTTACGCCCATGTGCATCACGGATCATTGGATGCAAATAAACCTGCAAAGCATTTTCAAAAGAACAAGATTTTTTGTGATCTCAACAGAAAGATCAAGTTTCGTAACAACATGCACGGATTACTAAATATAACTTTCAGAAGCACTCCACTTAAAATTCTGTTTTAGGCACTGAAAAAACCATGGATCATGGCTATCTTGGGGAAAATGATACCGACTGATAATCAAAAAGATTCAAAGAATCAAATTCCACTAAGAGCATAAAGCTCAATAAGAAAAATTAGTTTTTTCTATGAGGGATGATGAAGTTTGCTAACCTTCGTAAATGGCACATCACCTCCCAGCTTTATTCCCAACATCACCATACGTGCAACCCAGAAGAAGAGAATATCATGTCCAGTTTCAAGAACCGAAGTTGGATAAAATGTTTTGAAATCTGCAGTATCATCTGGCCACCCTAATACAGATAATGGAAAAAGACCAGAAGAAAACCAGGTATCCAGCACATCTGAATCTTGAGTGAGCCCAACAATCTCCTTCCCTGAAAATTTCCTACAAGCCAAATCTCGAGCCTCTTCTTCGTTTCTAGCGACAATCCAGTGATCGTCGCATACACCATATTCCTTCTGCTTATCATCATGCAGTGTCACATACCAAGCTGGAATACGATGACCCCACCAAAGCTGCCTTGAGATGCACCAATCACGGATATTCTCAAGCCATCTGCATGTTCACCACATAAGTCTTCGTGACATGGAACAGAACAGATTTTTAAGCAAGTGATGTATCAAGAAATGAAAAAATGGCACAAAATATCCTGTATAAAATTTATGATTAAAATCCATAACAAAAATCACAACCAAGTTTTATGCATGTATGCATCTATATCTGATGAGATACTTGCACAAAAGCAAATGATAAACTATCCATTTCCAACATGAATAAAAGACGATATTGAATAGAAGAACCTAAAACAGAGTCATTAAACCCATCAAAATGCAATAGTCTACATATGGTAGAACCGTGGGGGACACAAATTGGCATCTCATTTAAACCCTTGAATTTATTAATAATCAACATAGATCAAAGCACCCTTTTTGGGCCAAATCAACAATTACCTTTTCCATTCAGCAACATATTGCTTTGGGATGATCTCCATTTTCCGGTTATCATCATCCGTAACAGCATCCAGAGCCTGTTTGGCCATACTTTTGCAGTTGACAAACCACTGGGGCTTTATAAGAGGTTCCACCACATCATTACTTCTTGAACAAATTCCAAGGCGCATCTCGTTATTCTTAGCATCCCTGTAGAGACCCTGTAACAGTCGACGCAACTCAGTCTCATCCGATTATCCCAGGTTACTATTTTTGACTTATTCCAGTCTCTCATATAAAGTCCTATGCCCAATGTTACATAACACAGTTTCTTCTTGGGGGTTACCTCAAATATAACCCACTTTTATAGGTAAAAACTTAAGCACAATTCAAAAGTCTCAAGAACTCATAAAGCTAAAAGTGAGATGATGTTGTGTTAAATGTTTTTGGCAAAAAGACGGAAAACCACTACAAGGCTTCTGGAGATCTGCTCATATATCCTATGCCACTGTGACCCTAGGGCATAACTTGTTTCCATTAATAAGTTGCATGCAGATCATGCCATTCGAAGTGGCCCAGCCCAAGCATTCAAGGGCTCGTAGCCCCCCCCCCCCCCCCC